TTTTTTTTAAAAAGATGACCGGTAAGGGGATCTCAACCCTTGGCTTGGTGTTGTCAGCACCACGCTCAGCCAGTGAGCAAACCGGCCATCCCTATATAGGATCCGAACCCGTGGCCTTGGTGTTATCAGCACCGCACTCTACAGAGTGAGCCACGGGCCGGCCTAAAGATACGTAGTTTAAAAGCTTGACTATTTTTGAAGCCAAGAGAAAGTTAATTGTGACTTTAGAAGTTTCAAATTTACAGTGACTTCTGGGTTACCTCCAGTAGCCCCAAGCCCATAGATGTCCAGAGCCCCTCCTTCTGCATCCCAGAATCAGATGTTTAAACTCCAAGTCCAAGACAGAAAGAATCTGAAAGCAATGACCTACAAGAAATTTGGGAAATGACATTTGATCTCATTTTCCTCTCAATCTGAAGTTATATCAATGTACAGCAAATGACAAAAATTAGCTCACAAGTAGGTGAAAATTATGATATTTAAAACACAGATGCTTATTTCTAATCCTTCTCACAAAATTCCAGATCACAAATTGAGAGATGAGATGATCTTTCTTATACAGAAGGCACTAAGTGGGCCACATGAGCCGACAGCAAGTCAGAGCTGACATCCAGGAGATGCACTTGAGTCCCAGGTGTCTTTTCTAAGTTGCAATGGACCTCCTTATGGGACAGTCGGCAGGAGACAATTCAAATGCACTCAGTAAAATTTCCGGGTGGGCAACCAAAGGGAAGAGATGACAAAACCTCCTAGAACTGGATCGAAAACAAGCCAAACACTACTAGCAGCAGGCCCAGCTGGAGGAAGACTTGGTCTGTAGATCGATGTAGTTCCCTTCAGTGGACAAAGACATGGCATCTTCTCTGGAATTCATCATCTTTTCAATGAGGACTCTGCCAGCTGGAGGAAGACTTGGTCTGTAGATCGATGTAGTTCCCTTCAGTGGACAAAGACATGGTATCTTCTCTGGAATTCATCATCTTTTCAATGAGGACTCTGAAAAGCAAATAAAAAATAAGTCTCAGAAGCTGGATGGTGGAAAAGGAGAAATGGCAAACACTGTCTTATCACCAGACAGCACTCAGTAAAGCCACAAGGTTTAAATCCCCCTTTGTCCCCTTTGTGAGCTGGCTATGCAGTGACTTAGTCTGTTCTTGTTTGTTCAGAAACAAGAAAAAAGGGTCTGTGGGGCCAGAGTGGATGATGGGCAAATCTGCGTGCCTATCTCCAGAATGGCATGAGCTTCTTACCTCATGGCCTCATTAATATTTTTGTTCTCCTTGACTGATGTTTCTGTCCAACCTGTGAAACCGTTCTCCTTACTGAACCGGTCAATCTGGTCCCGACTCACTGCCCAAGGGGACAGATCACACTGACAAAAGAGAATAAAGATGATACCATAAACTTTCTGGGAATAGGTATATGGCTCCAATACCTGTGGATTTAAAATATTTCTCCACCAATGGGTGAGAATATCAGTATCCAAAATCTACAGTCAACATTCTTCCCAAAGAAAGTCTCACCCTCAACATCCTTTGAAAGGAGATGCAGAAGATTCTGCCAACTTGAGAGGGGAACATGGATGCACAGAATCAGACAGCATTTTAGATACGCTTACTCTCTGACACAGATAGAGGCCTGGGCCATTTACTTTGGTTGGTCACATACCTTGTTGGCCAAGAGCAGGCAGGGCACAGGCTCTCCACTGGGCAGTGTGAGCTTGCTGTCCAGGTCTTGTTTCCACCTCTGGCTGTTGCTGAATGTAGTGGGATTCGTAACGTCAAACATAATAACGCAGGCAGAGGCATCCCGATAGTACAGTCGTGTCATAGAGGTGAAGCGCTCCTGCCCTGGGGAGAAAGGGGAGAGTTCTCGAGAAGGTGATTCTGAGAACCATTCACAGTACCCTGTCTGACACTCTGCCCTCTCTCCATTTGTTGTGGAAGAGGACAGTAAGCATATGTGCAGAAGGAGCCACTCACTTTTTCCTCTGACTCCTGGTTTTCTATCTATCCCACCAAGGGATTATTAAACTGGATTATCTCCAAGGCAGATTGTGCACCCAGATTGCCCATGTCCAAATCCCTGCTATATGACTTTGGGCAAATCAAGTTCTCAGTGCTTCAGATTCCTCATCTGTAAAGTGAAGATAAAAGCAGTAGCTTTTATGATAGGTTTGTTGTATTAATGAGTCAGTAAATCTAAAAAGTTTAGAAGAGTGATTGGCACAAAATAAGGGTTCACTATTATTATTGTCTCTATTTTCCGGGGATCTTGTTTTTCACCAAGGTCAGCTGAAACCCTAAAAAAAGCACTCTGCCCCTGCTCCACCTATGGTCTGTAATCCACCATCTTATCAGCCCCTCCACCCACACAGAGACTGCCCAGATCTATCAGGGCAAAACCTCTACAGAAAACATCTACAAAAGCTCTACAACTCATGTATCCTCAGAGCAGCTCAATCTTTTCCAGCTTCAGAAAAAAAATTTCTGGTTTTGTTGCCCCACTTTTTTTCTGAGAGCTTGCTGGTTAAACCACAATTTCTTCTCTTGTGGAGAAGCCTTCCCAGATTACCTGCAATATCCCATAGCTGGAGCCGTACCACTTCTGAGTCAGACCACTGGAGAACCTTCAGAGCAAAATCCACTGAAAATATATGTATATTATGCTTTAGTAAAATTTACCTTTAAAAAAAATCTGGGGATAAACTCAAAGATGCAGTTACAACTCTAGGACCCACAACTCCAATCCCATTTATTTATTTTTAAGCCCTCAATAGACTGAGATGAGCCCACACTTGTGTATTAAGTCTGGGACAAATAATTCATACCTGTCCTCCAAAGGAGTCTCTGGCTTTTACTCTCCTCTCAAATTTATTTGATATTTTGTCTCCAAGGCTGGGGACAGGCAGGTGGGAGTAATTATGAAAACAACTCCTATTCTCAGGTTAAACAGTTTCTGGGAGATGTGAGGTTCTCTCAGGCAAGGGATGGTGGGGGAGAAGGGGGAAATGAGATAAGTGTGGTTGCTTTTGTATCTTCCACATTCAATTTCACTGTTGGTTTCTAATCAAATTGTATTGTAAGAAAAACACACCCTGGGGAATTCTACATCCTCCATAAGGCTGTAGGAATCATTTCAGGCAGGAATGGGATAAATGGGAAAGGTCCCAGAGGATGTGCAGGAAGAAGACACTGCATGGATTATGCTTAAGAGCTGTAGCTGCTGAGACTGAACGAGTTCTAGGGGAAAAGCTTCTTGATAAGGAGAGAGAATAATTTCTGAGGTTTGGAAGTATATTCTTCCATTTCTGTGACAAAAATAAAATCTAGGAGAAACTTGGAATACACACGGGAAAAAAATTTGCCAATTATATTTTTTACTAAAGGGAAACTAGAGTAATTGCTAAAAATTAATTAGCTGGACTCTTTCAACCTAAATAGGGATCCTCATATTATTTAGGAGGGATGGGGCAGAGTGGTCAGGAAACAGTCTTTGAAACTTTAAACCGTTGATTTTGCTGGATGTTCTTAAGGAGGATATTTTAACTATAATGTAAATACCTGTTACTTTTTAAAAAAAACTTCCATATGAACACCAGCACACATTTTCAAAATTTCCATTAGTACATTTTTTCTTAAAATTTCTTTTAACAGAGATAAGTAAAACTTTAAGTTGCTCTCCCCTGTCACTGGCTCTTCCCAGCTAAATACCTTCTAATTAACAAAAAGGCAATACTGCCTCTGAAAAAACAACTGTTGAGTCCAAAGGCTACCCCTGGGAAAGAAATGAATTAATTTTTGGTGTTCCCTTCCTCCCTCCCTTCCCCACTTTGAGGGGAAAAGGGCTGGGAAGATAGGTCAGAGAACTGGTATAGTTCACATTCTTCGAAGAACTTCTAGGTTATCTTATTTAAATAACCAATGGACAAAAACCACACAGCTCATCAGCCCTGATGGGCATCTAACTGCATGGCCAAGGGGCTCCTTTGGGGATTTTGTGCCCCCTCCCCGCCCAGTCCCACCCACGTCCCCAAGACAAAGCTAGGGTCCTTCAGACCAGTTTCGCTTCCCAGGTTCTCCCCTGGAAGCCAGGTTAAACACCTTCACCCTCCCCGTGAGAGGAAGGACAACAGCCCCCGCTGGCACCTAACCCGGGCCTACAGAGGGTCTCAGCTGCCTCTGCTGATGGGAGAGATCTGCCCCGACAGCTTGGAAGGCTGCAGGAGACGTGAGTTCACAGTTCTCCTGCGATCAGCAGCAATTGCTCCTTCTCATCACCCTTTTCTCATCTTCACACTCACTCGAGAGGCACGCAAGTCAAACTCCCAGCAATTCCTCCCTCTAGGATCCCGGACACCATCTTCTTAACCCGAGGAAGAACCCGAGGACATCGAATCCCCTCTCGCGACCCGACTTAGGGCCACAGCTCCAGTCCGTGGTCCGGTCTCCTCCACCCACCCACCCGCTCCCCGCCCCCGGCATCTCACCTCCTACCGTGGACTTGTAGTGTTTGCTGAAGCTGTCCTGGGAATATCGCTGAACAAGCGACGTCTTGCCCACTGCGGCGTCCCCCACCACCAGCACTTTGAACAGGTGATCGCGGCTGCCCATGGCTGGTGGGGCGTGCGTTTGAGGGAGGCGGGAAGTGAGGGAGTCGCTTGTTTTAACCCCTTTGGCTCCGGACCCTCTTCACACTGAAGTTAGACATTCCTATCCACCGCCTGTTGGGATTGCTCTGACCCGAAAGCAAAAAAGGAAACGGCACTCAACCTATACGCGCTTCCTCCCCAGGCTGCCGCAGCCTGGGTGGGGTGCAGGGCGCGAGCTCGGAGCTCCCGGCTGTTCGCACCTTCTCCCCCTCCCGGCCCGGCTGCCGAGAAACCAGACCAGGCACCGCGGAGCCTCACCCACCAGGACTTCCCCCAGCGGCTCCAGTCAGAGACTGAACGCGGGCCAGCTCATCACACGGTTGGGGTCAGATGACGGGGGCCCTTCCCCCATTGCACAAACCAAACTGGGGGGAAAGAGCAGCCCACACCTCGACTGCGCGTACTCGGTCTCGACCCTGGCGGCGCCCTTCGGCTCACCTTCCTCCGCAGATGTCACGCGCAGGGTCGATGTAGCACTACATTTCCCAGCTTCCCTCGCGGTAAAGAGAACCAACCGAGTGCGGAGACTTGCCCGTGAGGTCTCCTGGGAAATGTAGTTTATTCCCTAATTTTTGTTCGGAATCTTATTTTCAAACAATTCTGGGTCGGTAAAGATCTCTAAAGAAGAGATTTGCTCGACATGATCTCACCTGCCTAAATATGTCTCCTGACGGTTTTTTTTCTTATATCTTTGAGGGTTTTATGGAGCTGAGATTAAAAACTATCAATTAATGAAATAAAAGCCCAAGCCTTGTTCATCATGCTCTAAGTGAAGTCTATTTCCTAGTCCTTCTAACAGATAGACAAGCTCCGGACTTCATGAACATGATCTCATATTTTCCATATGAACCAACACCAAGCAAGTTCAGAAACTTGTCCCAAGGGCCGGCCTGTGGCTCACTCGGGAGAGTGTGGTGCTGATAACACCAAGGCCATGGGTTCAGATCCCATATAGGGATGGCCGGTTTGCTCACTGGGTGAGCGTGGTGCTGACAACACCAAGTCAAGGGTTAAGATCCCCTTACCGGTCATCTTTAAAAAAAAAAAAGAAAGAAAGAAACTTGTCCCAAGAGACCAATCCTTAGTAAAACCCATGCCAAGAATTACAGTATTTAATAACTAGACATAGCAATAAAGATAGACAGAAAATAACAGACAGTTCCTCATTCACATTTCCACAGTCCCTATTCTAACCACGATACTCATACATCATTTAAGCCGAAAGTTAGTTGGAATACACTGGGAGTCTCTATTTGTTGCTGCTGTTGCTCATGAATAAACACTCCAGTTTGGCTAATAATTTTAATTTTTTATCCTATGAGTTTTCTGACCTGCCTGTCATTTAGTTAGGAGTTCATGGGACATAAGCACCACAGCAAGCACAATGAGCTGCATTTTCTGTGCTTTTCCCAGGAATAGAAGAACTTTGAGAACTCATAGGGCCATGGGAAAACAGGCCAGGACCTGACACCATAAAATTCTGCTCAGGCATCGTGATAGGGAGGCTACTGCTTACATTTTGTGAGGAAAGAACATCAGCCTGGTTCACAACATATTTAGCCCCAAATGTTTGTTACCCAGGTACAGGAAGTTAGGCTAGGCTACTCATCTTTAAGGATGTCTCTGACCCTTACCAATGGTCTTTTCTCAATTCCATTTGCTTTGACATAGTCGACATGGGACATAAGCACCACAGCAAGCACAATGAGCTGCATTTTCTGTGCTTTTCCCAGGAATAGAAGAACTTTGAGAACTCATAGGGCCATGGGAAAACAGGCCAGGACCTGACACCATAAAATTCTGCTCAGGCATCGTGATAGGGAGGCTACTGCTTACATTTTGTGAGGAAAGAACATCAGCCTGGTTCACAACATATTTAGCCCCAAATGTTTGTTACCCAGCTACAGGAAGTTAGGCTAGGCTACTCATCTTTAAGGATGTCTCTGACCCTTACCAAAGGTCTTTTCTCAATTCCATTTGCTTTGACATAGTCGACCACTCCTTGAAATTTGTTTCTCCCGTGGCTTCTATGACACGCTTCTTTCTTTGTCACCTTCCAACCTCTCCGACGATCACCTTTTTCTTTCAGGTTTCTCTCCATCGCATCTCCCCCTAACTATTTCCTAAAGCTTGATTCTTGGTCCCTGAGTTGCTCATTCTATAAACTGTTTCTTGATTCTTGGTCCCTGAGTTGCTCATTGAATTGCCCCTGGCATCAGATAGCTCTCTTTTTCTTCACTTTATTTGTTCTTTATCTCCAATCAATTATGTTCAGCTTCCAAAAGGCACCTCCACTTGGACATCCTGACACAGTTGCCCTCTTACTTCTACATCACCACAGAAACAGCCCCTTTTCTCAGTTTCTGTCACTGGCCTCATCATTTCTTCCCTCCATGTAGATTTCAGACTTTGAGCATTATTAATATTTCCTTTTACACAAGTCCCTGTACAGCCCCTGCCCCTTTTAAAAAGCAAGTTACCACATCCTACCGATTCTTCAAAAGTTTCTCACACTCATCCTCTCTGCTCCATATTCAGTGACACTTTCCTAGTTCAGGCTTTCATCATCTCACACCTGGAATACCGCAATAACCTGTTCCTTGGTCTCCCTGATTCTATTTTTTTCTCTTTAATTTATCCTATAAAACTAGCCAGGATGATTTTCCTAAAACATTATTGTTTGTTCCTTCATTGTCTACCAATTGTCTTCCAAAAACTGGCCAACCTCCCTGAGCTAGTGTCCAAAGCTCTGTATGCACCTGCCCCGTCCTACCTAACCAATTTTATCTCACCTGATTTCAAATGGGAATTTTCCCCAACAGGGAGAGGTTCCTTATACTTTCTCTTCTTGTGTGTGTGGCTTTTTTTTTTTTTTTTTTTTTTTTTTTTTGGTGTGTGGATGGCCGGTACAGGGATCCAAACCCTCCATCTTGATGTTATAACATCCCGCTCTAACTGACTGAGCTAACTGGCCAGCCACTGTGTACTCTTTAAAAGACCAGTTTCATTTTTTGATTTCTTATCTGCTCAGGATGCTTCACCTATCGGAATACTCTTCAGGTTTCTTTCCACACATCTAAATCTTGCCACACATTAAGTTCTCAACCTTTAGTGGACATAAGAATCACCTGGAGATACTCGTTAAATACAGACATTCTGATTCTGTAGGGCTGGGGTAGGACCCAGGGGAATCTGCATTTTTGGCAAGTACCCATGTGATTCCTGGGCCAGATTCCACTATGAGAAATGATGCTTCAAGGCCTGACTTAAATGTCAACTCATTTGTGAACATTGTCCTTACTATTATGGCCCTTATTTGTCACCTGTGGCATTTACGTTATGTTTGACTTTTGGTCACTTAACTATGTAACTAATTTATAACTATTTAACTCATAAGAAACTAGCATGTTGCAAAATAAAGACTTCAAAATATTGCTTCCAGCCCTGATCATCTGTCAGAGGAACTATGTTTACCAAATCAGAAAGGTGGGGAGTGAAGATTTAAGAGGGAAGATTAGCAAGTTTCTGGTGCGGGTCCACCAAGTCACAGAATTTCTATCAAAGGAGTAACCATTTGGTGGCGGCGGGGGGCGGGGGGGAGGTGTATTTCTTCAGTCCTAAGTTGCAATTCTGATGCAACTTCTCAGAGAGATAATTATATAAGAGAGAGAAAAACACATTCAGAGTGCCAAACAGCTGATTTGCATGTACATGTTTGGAACACCAGCTTTCAGAAGCTGTGGAAAGTGGTTGGCCTGCGCTGTTACTATCACACTTCTCATGGGTGTCTGCCTCTCTCTTTCTTACTTTTCACTTCCCATTTTTTATTTTGAAAAATTTCAAACCCCTAGAAAAGTTAAGAGTACAATGCATATCAGTATGTCCTTCAGCGGGATTTACCGATTACAATTGTCCCTCAATATCCTTGGGGGATTGGTTCCAAAACCACCATGGACACCAAAATCTGTGAATGCTGCAAGTCCCTCATAAAATGGTGTGGAATTTGCGTATAACCTAGGCACACCCTCCTGTGTACTTATACTCGTTAAATACAGACATTCTGATTCTGTAGGGCTGGGGTAGGACCCAGGGGAATCTGCATTTTTGGCAAGTACCCATGTGATTCCTGGGCCAGATTCCACTATGAGAAATGATGCTTCAAGGCCTGACTTAAATGTCAACTCATTTGTGAACATTGTCCTTACTATTATGGCCCTTATTTGTCACCTGTGGCATTTACGTTATGTTTGACTTTTGGTCACTTAACTATGTAACTAATTTATAACTATTTAACTCATAAGAAACTAGCATGTTGCAAAATAAAGACTTCAAAATATTGCTTCCAGCCCTGATCATCTGTCAGAGGAACTATGTTTACCAAATCAGAAAGGTGGGGAGTGAAGATTTAAGAGGGAAGATTAGCAAGTTTCTGGTGCGGGTCCACCAAGTCACAGAATTTCTATCAAAGGAGTAACCATTTGGTGGCGGCGGGGGGCGGGGGGGAGGTGTATTTCTTCAGTCCTAAGTTGCAATTCTGATGCAACTTCTCAGAGAGATAATTATATAAGAGAGAGAAAAACACATTCAGAGTGCCAAACAGCTGATTTGCATGTACATGTTTGGAACACCAGCTTTCAGAAGCTGTGGAAAGTGGTTGGCCTGCGCTGTTATTATCACACTTCTCATGGGTGTCTGCCTCTCTCTTTCTTACTTTTCACTTCCCACTTTTTATTTTGAAAAATTTCAAACCCCTAGAAAAGTTAAGAGTACAATGCATATCAGTATGTCCTTCAGCGGGATTTACCGATTACAATTGTCCCTCAATATCCTTGGGGGATTGGTTCCAAAACCACCATGGACACCAAAATCTGTGAATGCTGCAAGTCCCTCATAAAATGGTGTGGAATTTGCGTATAACCTAGGCACACCCTCCTGTGTACTTGAAATCATCCCTAAATTACTTATACAATGTAAATGCCATGGAAAGAGTTGTCATACTGTATTTTAAAAATTTTGTATTATTTTTATTGTTGTATTGTTGTTTTTTTCCACTAATATTTTCGAGCCACAGTTGGTTGAG